AGCACAGTAGGACAGAACTGTACTGACATTATTTAAAAACCTCTCTCTTCATCACTTAAATTGGTTTTAGTGATGACAAAGTCTTGTTATCACACAACCGGATGTGAAGTTCTAAGTTTTAAACTTAACCTGCGAGGTTGATAAGGGGAATTTTTTTTAAAAGGTCTATTTTTAGAATGTTCGACAACCTATTAATTTGCAGACTTTACTGATTGCAAACGAAGAATTCAGTATTCTACATTTCGAACTGAAACTAATATGTAGTATTTCACATAGGTGCCCATTAACTATTATAATAATAGTTTCATATTTAGGCTTGTCACTATCTCTACTCAAAAAGATTTTTTTAGGCGTCCATAGTGAAGTGAACCGATTATATACGAAGAATTCAGTATTTCATTTTCCTCTTCTTCTTTACAATTTCTATATTTCTGTTTGAAACTAATAATTAATATTTCGCATAGGTGCTTACTAACTATTAGCATGACAGCATCATATTTAGGCTTGTCACTACCTCTACTCAAAAGGATTATTTTATAAAAGTTAATTTAACTTAGCAATTTTAATTTGGACTTAATTTGCAACCCATCATATCTTTCCATTAATAATTTGCTAATTTTGTAAGTTTTGGAATTTACAATCTAAAAAGTAATTTGTAAATATTTAAATATAAAAAATATTTCCAAAGAAATCACTGATGACGGGTATTTGGCAATACTCGAAATAAGTGTATAGTAGGTCAAAAATCAATTAAAAGTGAAACTTTTTTTATCATAAACATAACTCAATACTATTCTAAAATCCAGTCGATTTCGAATATGTTTTTTCACACATTTTAATAATTAGTTAAATGTATAACCAATGTATAATCAGCATTTATTCTTCTGCTGAGGTTGTTCTTTGTGTTGCTAGTTTACCCAAAATATCATTTTTTTCTATACCTCGATATCTAGAACTCAATTCAAATATTTTGGGCACTAGATATTTTATGACTTCAGTCATAATATTCAACTGCTTTGCTGTCTTTGATACTTTACTGTAGTAATCCATAAAGAACATGTTTTAAGACGTTTGTAATTATTTAAATCAGATCTTAAAGACCATATTTTTTACTTCATATTATCAAAATTTGACTAATTCCCAACTAAAAAGCTTAAGTTTCAAAATGTCCATAAGTTTTATTACTTAGCTAACCATAATTTAAATGACAGGAACAATCAATTCAACATATATGGTATATAAAATAAATATGCAAAAGCTAAACGAGTTTATGGAGTCAGTAACAAAATATGCAGATCTCCAGATATCTATAAGATATAAGATATAATAATAAAAAATTAACAAAAAATAATAAGCAAATAACATTATGTTAAAACCTAATTTTCTTATTGCAGTGTTAGTTAAAATATAACCGCCACCTTATAGTAAAAGTGTGTACTATAAGTTTTGTTATGACTTAATTACACTTATATATGAGACAAGCAGCAACTTAAGCCTTCAATATATTAACACTTCCGTTTACATTGCCGCGAAACTTAAAATTTAAAATTTGTTTTGTTTAATTGTAAAAAACTTCATTTATGAATAATAATATACATAAATACATATGCATACATATATACCACGGTAAAAAAAGCAGCAGTTTTTATTACGCAAAATTAAAGAGATATATTTATACTCTACTCGTCTTCTTATCTATTACAAATCAGTTTTAAGCATCAAGATGTCGCTAGTATGCTAATAGGCCCAATGGGATCAAAAATTGATAGAATATTAATGAATTTAAATAAATATATTGTGCCAGTTTAGGTAACAATACATTGAACTCTGGACGTCATGACGTTTTTCATATAAATTGGTATTAACTGCTAAACTTAGGATCACTATTTTGTAAATACATGTACACCTTATATGCGTATACCCTCTCATGAGCTTCATGTAACATATGGGACTACTGTGAGTATTTAACATCTCATGTTATTTTATATCAAATAACATATTTAGGTTGAGAACCAACCATTCACTCAAGAGATAATAATAATTATCGATGCCACATAAGTTCCACATAAGTTAGCAACAAGTATCACTAAAATAATTCTTAATGATAATCCCCAAACCAGCACAAGATCTGGACGTTTACTGAAAACATGGGAGGATTGAGCATGTAAGTGATTGTCATCCGACAGAGTTCAATGGAATTTACTTGTTACTGTCCTTCACTCCTTGAGAGAATTAAAAGTATTAATTATGTATAGTTCTTTATATTTTTTAATATCTTTTGTATCATTTAAATGTAAAAATTAAAATCGAGCTACCCATTGATATTAGATAACTTTGAATTTAATTAAATTTTACAGTTCAGTCATTTTAAATAATTTCACTGTGAGAAGTCGAAATTCACAAGTACAGAAAACATTTGCTTTCTACTCTTAATTAAGAAATGTACAGATACTTGTATGTATTGAATTGGTTGCTACTGATTTCTAATTCAATTGTGATTATTTTACTTAGTTACTTGCAGAAGTCCTTAGCATTTTTGCCAAAGGATGCCGAAGTCATTATCAGAGGCAAGTTTTTGCTTAATTAAATTTTCTTTGTTTAAGCACAAAATGAGTTTCAGTTTAAAGTACTCCATTTCGGTTAAAAGTCAGCAATATAATAAAGCCAAGAGCACTGCAGCGGAACGTGTGTTTCTCGAAACTTGCAAAGAAACTCAACGAAACAATTTCCGCTTGTTAACACGAACAATTTCTTTACTTTTATCACTTTTAAGTACAAGGGAAGTGCTAAAATGCTAACTCAGTGATATACTGAAATCTGATATGTGCAAAGCCAACTTGAAACTTGGTTTTAACTAAACTGTAAACTACTTTGAAGCCATTTGTTCGTGCCTTTTTTAGTCACATTTGCAGACAACTTTGTTAAAAATTGCGTTCCAACACAACTTTTGTACGATTTCCGCAACATCAGAGAAAACAACATCAGACAACAACAACAACAAGAAAAACAACCATAGATACAAAATAAGAAAACAGACTTTCATATTTAAAATAAGAACAACAATTTAAGCAATGAAATTGTAGTGAAATATTCTAGAAATTAGTGTAAAGTTT